ATACAGAACTACATACAATGTTAGAACCTTGGCGAACAGAGCGAGGGGAAACTTGCCCTGGGCCATTCTACCTTATCTATGCAGTTACTTGTGTAGCGAGTCCGAGGGGAAAAGTCCCGTGTGTAGGTGAGGAAGTCGAATGGACTTATTTTTAATTTTCGAAGATAAAATAGTTCTAGATGCAAAGGTAGAATATAGGCGGACAGAGTGAGGGGAAACTTACCCTGGGCCTTTCTACCTTAATTATTTAGATACTACTGGGTTCGTAAAGTCTCGTTGTCAGGTTAGTAATTGGTAAAGATTTCAGGGGATAAGCGGTTCAAATATCTTTGATCATCTTGATTGTAAGTGTAGTCATGTTGCTTTCGTGAGTTAATAGCCGTTTTAGTATGGATTAGAGTGTGATTGAAGTGTTTATATGGGAAATTGAAGGTATTTTTAGGTTGGTCTCGATCATTTACGGGCGGTGAAATAAATTGTTCGTTTTCCGTATAGTGTTTTAATTTGTTGACATGAATTGTATCTGTCTCACGACTTAGAGGTCGGTTGGAGCGGTTGATCCGTACGATTTGAGGGGAAATTATCTCCATAAGGTCCTGAGAAGAAAGGTGCCAGTTTACCGGTATCTGGATGGTGGTATGTTTTTGCCAAAACGAGATCGCCTACTTCAAAATCGGAAGCTCTATGTGTTTGGTCGAATCTCGCTTTGTCGCGTAAGTGTCGTTCGTGTGTCCTTTGATAGGCCAATTCTCTGGCGTCGTCGATTTTTGGGTAGTTTTGTACATGCTCGGATAGTTGTAGCGGGAAACTACCTAACAAAAGGTACGACGGTGGAAACCCGGTCACAGAATGTGGGGTATGGTTATAAGCCTGAAGGACCTGAGGTAGTAGTTTGGTCCAGGCCGTCTTAGGTTGTTGGAGGCGCAACAGTTTAAGTTTGCCAGTAATCGTGGCGTTTAGTCGTTCACTTAATCCGTTGGCCTGAGGGTTGTTGCTTGTCTTGAGAAGTTGGCCAATGTTATGTCTAATCAAAAATCTACGAAATTTCGGAGAGGTGAAGGCAGGAGCTCTATCCGTCAAAAGTCGTTTAGGAGAACCAAACTGCATCACCTTTTAATCACTTGGGTATAGGTGAGAATGCTGGTGGACCGCGATGGAAATGCCCACGCGTACCGTGTGGCATGGGTACTACGACATGTAAGAAGGTCTGAGAATTTCCATATTTCGCGAATCCAGAAATAGTATCTAGTGACACTAGTTCGTACGGCAGGACCGCTGGGGGGAGTTGTCTCAATTCTCCGTAGATAGGTCCTTTTGGTGGTTTGACTAATTGACATACTGAACAGGTTCTTACATGTGTCCTGATGTCATTTGTCATGCCGTCCCAATAGTATTGGGCTGCGATTAGTCTGGTCATCTGCGAAATGCCGGGGTGATTGAAATCGCGATGGGCTCGTTGTAGTAGGGTGCCACGGAGTGATGGTGGAACAATTATTTTAGTGACACCCCGTCGTGTGATGGTCATAAGGTCCTTGTCATTGAGGATATACCTTGTGTCCCTCCGTAATTCGCCCTGATGATCTTTTATTTGACCTGTGGATAGGAATCCGCAGAAAGGGTTACGGGAGAGTAGGTCCGCCTCGTACTGACGCGAGCCCTTGAGGTATTTGACCTCATAGTCGTAAGCTGAGAGTCGAAGGCTCCAACGAAAGAGGCGTCCGGTGGGGTCTTTTATGGTCTTTAGCCATTGTAAGGCGTGATGATCCGAGTAGATGACAAACCTTGTACCTAGGAGGTACACTCGGAATTTTTCAACGCACTCTACAATGGCTAAGCACTCCAGTTCAGATATAGTGTAATTACGCTCATAGGAACGCAACGCGCGACTGTAATGTTGTACAGGGTAGATGTTACCGTCAGGATGTACTTGTTTGAGTACACCTGCGATGCCCTGCGTGGAAGCGTCGCAATAGACCTGGCATGGGAGCCCTTCTTGAAATAGATGTAACACAGGTTGTGTTGCTAGGTGTTGCTTGAATTTATCAAAGGCTTGTTGACAATTCGGGATCCAAAGCCATTTGGCGTTCTTTTTTAGTAATTGATTTAAGGGGTGGCGAAGTCTAGCATATTCTGGGATGACTTTATGATATACGTTGACGGCTCCTAAAAATGATTGTAGGGTTTTAATGTTGATAGGAGTTCTAATAGCGTTGATGATTTCGGTATTTTTAATATTAGGTGTGTAAGTCCCTGCGGTGATGTGGTAGCCGAGAAAATCTATTTCATTTTGATAAAAATTACATTTTTTAAGGTTAAGTTGGAGATTTTCCTCTAAACAGAATTTAAAGAAAAGTCGGAGGTGCGTAAGGTGTTGTTCTGAGGAGTCAGAAAAAATACCGAAGTCGTCATAATAATGGGCTATAAAAGAGAGGTGGTGTTTGTGGATCAACTGGGTAATCACACGTTCGAAAATTTGGGGTGCTGATTTGAATCCAAAGGGTAAGCGTTTGAAATTATATTGCCCTTGTTGAGTCACGAAAGAGAGTAGTGGTTGACTCTCCTCCGCGATGGAGATTTGATAGTATGCTTGCTTATGTCAACGGTGCTAAATACTCTGGCTTTCGACAGGTTATCCAGTACCGTTTCTATCAATGGCAAAGGATGCAAATCCGAGGGTACTAGTTCGTTCACGCGACGGAAGTCAATGCAGAGACGCATGGTGTTATCGCGTTTGCGAACGAGTGTCACAGGAGAGGAATATGGGCTAGAGGAGGGGGTGATTATGTCATGTTTTAGAAGTTGAGATATCTGGTCCTGAATTTCCTTCTGGTAGGCATAGGGAGTTCGGTATGGTCGGAGAGAAATAACCTTATCGGAAATATTTTTGAGTTTTACAGGGGTTATGTTGAGTGGTAATACATTGAATTTATTGATAGGGAAAATATCTTTAAAAGAATACAATAATTGCTGATAAGGGATAGTCAGTTCTGGGCGTTGTTCGATAAATTCTTTAATCATTAATTCTCTAGAGGAGCATGGGCTGGTAGGGAGGCTATTAAGGTTGTAAGGGTGAGAGGGGTATTCAGGGGAAGGTTGATAAATATTACTAAGGGTTGTTTGTAAGCAAGGCTCACGTGGAGGTTGAAAATCGTCAACGCCTAAGTTAACCGAGTGAATTATGGGTCGTTTAGGGTTAGAAGTTATTATTGGCGAGCCGTGCTTTCAAGTGGGAAGGTCACATACAAAATGGTACAAATGTTTAGGTACTGGAACACTATTTTGAAGTATCAATTGATTATGAAAATCTATTGTTAATCTTAAGAATTGCATAACATGAATAGATAGGATACCAAGTTCAAGGGGTGAATTTAAAATATAAAATGTTTCATTAAAATTAAAATTATTAAATTGTATTGGTAAGGTAACTAATCCGATTGGTTTGGCATGACTAGATATAGTACGGATAATAACATCATTGTTAATAGGGGTGGAACAAATGAAACTATTAACATTTTTAATATATTCAAATTGGTTTAAACTAATTATGGAAACATTGGCTCCAGAGTCAACTAGGAATGGCATCTTTAAAGAATGAATGATAGGGGTTAAAATAATTGCACTTATAGGCGTATGCTGGTTTAGGGTGCAGGTAGGTTCATTGAGTTTCGGAGTAGTTCTGCTGCCGAAGTTGGCATTACTTGGTTTCTCCCGAGCTAGTCGTTGCTGCGGTCTCGTAGACACCTGCAGGCCCAGTCGATCTTTGGGGTTGCTCGACGCTGTGGACCGCAGGTGTAAAGGTCCGAAAAGTCCGCTGGTAGGGCCTTCGCTGCTGACACTGTGCGTGCCAGTGTTGTCCGCCACAGTAACGGCAAGGATATGGTGGGGTCTTGTCCACGGTGGTGGAAGGTGCTCTGCTCTGGCGCGGTGATCGCTGTTGGGCAGCTTTAGTGCTGGTGTTATCCCCTTCGTAGGTCAGCTGTTGGGCTAAGCACAACCATTCTTCTGGTCCCGAGGGTTGTGCCATCTTCAAAAGGTTGCCATAGTTACGTGGCACACCGTTAGATAGTGCTTGCACGATGGCACTCTAAGGGAGGTTGATCGCCAATCCTATTCGGACCTTGTTCTTGTTGTAGGTCTCGATCTCGGCCATCGATGTGCATTTAAGTTCATAGAACTCTTGAAGAGTGAAGCTAGGGCGTCGGGGATAGACGGCGCAGAGTGACTCCTTGACCTCTTCATAAGTCTTATTGAGTAGAGCTAAGTCTTGTGCAATTTTGCGAGGTTCGCCTCTGAGTGATGATAGAGCCTTTCGAGATTGGCGTGCTGGCTCTAAGTTGTGGAAGTTCGGCTGAGACTCAAGTTGTGAGAAGAAGTGTGCGGCAGGTTCATCTCCGTCGTAGGTGATTGCTTCTTCAGACTCACGGTTTAAAAGTTGGTCGAGACAGAGGGTGAGAGTTCGAAGGGAAGCGGCTACAGTAAAGTCGGTCGTTGGTTCTTGTGGAACTTGGTTGTGGGTTTGTTCGATCATCGTGATATTGCTTCTTGTTTTCTCCATACTCTGGTATATGAGGGATTTGTTTCCCGGTCAGGTCTTATCCTGTCGACTTTCAATGTGACAATATAGTGGTAATAATGTGGTGAGGAGAGAAATAATCACACGACGAGTTGGAAGAGGAATCTGGAAGCCATCCGAGAGAGAGAGGGAGAGCGAGCGATGTCCCCTGAACGACCGTCTTGTGTGGTCACCACCCCCCGACTATTCAAAAATAGTCCCCAGGTGTTGACGGTCGGCCCCCATTTGCCGCCCCTTTGGAATGTCGCTGCTGTCTCAATTGACCGGACTTTACATCCCATCTCTCTCTGGGATGGCTCTAGGTTTGTTTTATTATTCCTGGAAGAGTATATATTATGACATATATATATATATATATAATGCGGCTTATGATTGTAGATCGAAATTTGATAATTATACCGCAAATGTTTCTTTTGTTCGAAATATGTCCAGGGTAGCCTAGTGTACATGGCATCTGCCTGGTAAAATAAACACTGTGAGTTCGATTCCCATCCTTGGATACTTTATTTTTTACGTTTATCATTACTCTTCACAATTCATCCTATCAAACTTCATCCCTAAGGTTAGAAATAATTGTTATTTCTCCTTAAAATAAATTTCGATTTTTCGTTCAAAAGAAACATTTGCGGTATAGTTGTCAAACATTGTTTTACAAAGTTCTGATTCATTACCTAATTTACATATTTAAATGCAATTCTACTGTCCTAAAAGCTTATGTCCATAGTTTTCTTGAATGTCATTTCTGAGATTCCACCCTTCACACACACACACACACACACAGCCAATTAGACATGCGTCGTATTTGGAGGCTGTTGTTGGGTGCTGTGCTGCCTGGAGTACAGGAGCTTCATTTATGATTCCTTTCTTCCTGTGGTTGTTGTTGATGTTGTTTCTTATCCCCTTGTGTAAAGATTACACAAATTCCATGTGATCTCATGGAATGGGGTGTAGGGGTGCAACTTTCGTCGATCATGGAACCATGATCCAGGCACACTTTGATGAAAGTCTGATTTTGCCTGTAGTTTGAGGCTGTTCCTAACATGGAAGCCTTTGCTGCCGACTCTAACATGAATACAGACACAGCTCCTCCGTATCCCTGGAGAGGGACCCTTGCTGAGGTCTATCAACCGGGTCAATTGAACTCAGGATTTTTAAAGAGGTCTACTCCTCTTCTAACAATGATGCTGTTGGTCCGCGACTGCTTATTTGTCAGAATATTCTGCTTGTTTTTCAAATGGCCTTCATATCTGAAGGTCGTTCCCCTATCCGCCACCTGGGGACGCGCCCTATAGCAGTCAGCTCTTTTTGTGGTGAATCTGTATAAGACCGGTGGTCTTAATAAAGCTTTGTGTGTTTGATTCCGCCCTTCAGTGTAGCCTATATAGGCAGAATGATCCAATACAGTATCAGAGCTTTAAATAAGCGGTCTGGTAGATTAAATTTTCTAAACCTCTGGGAAGGTTCACCACTGATGAACTAAGACCTCCCAATATATTTTTTTCATCGCAGTGAGGATAGTAGAAGTTTGTATTGTATATAAAAGAATCATTCATGCTTAAATCCTTTCATTTTATGTGTATTCTAGCTATATTTTCTAAATACCCTTTTTGTTCTTAACATTTTAGTATTTTAGATTTATGGTTGTACATTTTGCTGGAAGGATTATAATGAAAAAGGTTATGTTAAGGTATCTTTTCCTTAACAGAAAGAAGGCCGTTATCTAGAGGACTGTAAGTTTTGAACTATCCAAATGACACCCCAATGGTGTTTCCAACGCCTCTGCCAAAGAGAGAATAGAGGCACCAATACTATTCACACACACCTTTTATTTCCAACCACACTATATATATACAATTGAATATACACACGTGACCAGGCACTCCTGGTCAAATATAATATAACCATTTACACAGAGTAATATCAAAAATAACAAAAATAAGCTCTAACAGGTTATTTCTCCTATCAAAAAATATATTAAAACTCTTCTTCATTTATTGACAACTTATCTAATCTAGCAAAATCGTGATGTAAAAGGTGTTGTGGCTTTGATACCAACCATTTTGTGCTAGAGATTGCAAATTGGTCAATAGTTAAGGCAGAGTTTTCTGTCTAATTTGACGAAAAAGAGAATTTCTATTTGGATTATATTTACACATTATATGGCTAAAACCTAGTTTCCTGGAGTCACTTATATCTAGAGTCGCGGTCTACCTTTCTTTTACCTACCTTAATTTATAACAAATGAAGACATCAAAACGTGAATGTTTATTTTCACAAATAAATCAAACTTCTACTGTACTTACTGCTATGAAAAAATATTGGAAAGGCTTGAAAGACCGCTTCTTTAGAGCTCTAATACTGTATTGGATCATTCTGCTTTTATATGCTACAAAGAAGGGTGGAATCTTAGAAATTATATTGCCACACGTAGAAAATTAGGGAAGACAAAAACTTCAGGAGGAGACAACAATTTATTTCCGGCAAGGATAAACTATGAATGGTAAACAAAAGATAAGCCACGAGGGAAATTTACAGAGTAGCAAAATATAAACATAAAAAAATGACCACTCTGTTAATAAAAATAATATAATTAATAAATACTTTGTTACAATATTTAAGAAAACTATGGACATAAGCTTTTTAGGATTTTTTCATGCTTAATTATTTATAGGATTGAATCCCAGATTTCTGGAGCACTACAGACAGTTATTGTCATCTAACGGTTATCCTTAGCAATTTTATTTTAATTAAATAATATAAAAGGTTTTTTTAGAGAGATGAGTTTCTCTTTTCATTTTATTGCAATCTCAAGTTTACGAGCATCTCTGCCCGATATGCGATCAAACATCTTTAGTGACTAAGCATCTTTAGAGACTAAGTATATTTAGAGACTCTCAACTCCTCTTTTGCCGGTCCCAATCCCGGATGAAAAAGGAGAAGGGGGAGCAGTAACAAGCTCACTAAAAAACCTAGGTTCAGCTGGCCTGACTGATAGTACCCTGTGAGGGCTCCTTATCCAAGAATACAGGATGAGCAGCGTTTGTACTCCATGTTTGGAGCGGCTGCACATGGCGTCTGTTCCTCATGTCAGAGGCGGCCATTTCTTTTGGAGCTAAGTCGGCCTGCCACTGAGTAGTGCTCCCAGTCTTAATGACAAAGGCAGATGAATTCTACTTCACCTAGATATGATTGAGTGGAGATAAGAAGAGAAGAAAAAGAGAGACTCTCTAAGCATTTTTAATGAGTAAGCATCTTCAGAGAATAAGTAGCAATCAAGTCTCTTTAGTTACCTAGCTTCTGCTTTATAAGTGTAGACACTTTCATAAAGAAAAATATAGATGAGAAATTCAGAGAATCAACATCTATAGATATAAAGAAAAATCACCAAGTTATTGAGTCCGTCAGGTATTCTATTGGAACAATAATGTGTAAATAAGAAACAGCATTGTGATTATTTTCTGAACGAAATGCTCTATTTTTCACAATGATTGACATCCAGACAAATCTGTACAATTAACGATGTTGTTCTTTAATCCTTCCAAAGTAAGCATATGGTCAGTTTACATATGCAAATCAATTAAGGAAGTGGCTTGGGTAGCGTATCTGTCGAGGAGTGGGGGATGATGATAAGGGGTCCTGACGTTCCGCGTAGTTGGCTCCAGTGACCCAGGGGTCTACTCTAAGCTGCATTATGCTCGGAACATGGATCTTCTTCTGTAATCCTGCTATCACTATATACCAAACTGATCGTTAGTGTATACTGATGGACTTCAACTCTTGTACTAGGAAGGTGAGGCCTCTTAGCCACTAAGCCTCTTTAGCGACCAAGACTCTTTAGCTAACTAGCCTCTTTAGTGGCTAAGTCTTTTTAGATACAAAGCCTATTTATCTAATAAGCATCTTTAGAGACCAAGTCTCTTTAGGGACCAAGCCTCTTTAGTGATAAGTTTCTTTAGCGACTAAATTTTTTTTAGCTACAAAGCCTATTTAGCTAACAAGCCTCTTTAGCGACCAAGTTTTTCAGCTACAAAGCATATTTATCTAATAAGCCTCTTTAGCGACCAAGTCTCTTTAGCCAGCAAACTTCTTTAGTGACTAAGCATCTTTAGAGACTAAGTATCTTTAGCGATCAAGTCTCTTTAGTTACCAAGCTTCTTTAGCGACCAAACCTCTTTAGCGACTAAGCCTCTTTAGCGACCAAACATCTTTAGCGACCTAGTCTATTTAGCGACTAAGCTTCTTTAGCCACCAAACCTCTTTAGCGACTAAGCCTCTTTACCGACCAAACCTCTTTAGCGACCTAGTCTATTTAGCGACTAAGCCTCTTTAGCGACCTAGTCTATTTAGCGACTAAGCCTTTTCAGCGACCAAGTCTCTTTAGCCAAGCATCTTTAGCGATCAAGACCGTTCAAATTTATGAATTTCCCTCATCCCATAGTGTTATTGTCTTACTCATTCATCCACATAAGCAAATTTTTCCATCCGAATGTGAATATATTAATCCCTACCTATTCATTCATCCTATACCAATTTCGTATTGTTTCTATTTGAGCTAATATGCAAATAAAATATAGAGAATATATGCAAATATAGATAGAATGTTTTAGCAAGAAACGAAGCTGTTCACCGTATCAATCCAGGATGATTAGTGTGAAACTTCATGCGGGCGATTATTGGTGTGAAATTAGTCTAAATTAGAATCACGCTCGCAACCCAACATCACGTTTCAATGAAACCATTCTTGTAGCTTTATGCAAATTTGGATCATTATTCCATATCAATTAATCAGAGATTCCTATGGAAAGAGTGTTATGGATTGAGGTTATTAAATTAATTTGCTGGATCTCAGTTACTAAGGTGTAAACCGTGAGGTAAATTTTTTATAAAATGGCAGAATAGCGTGAGGTAAGAAGCAAGGTAGAGTGTCACACCATGTGATACTTAACGCTCAGCTTGGAGAGTTTTAAAAAAACTTCGATAATTTGCTAGAAATGTCTCTCCTCTGATTGGTCGTCCTGTCGTGTTGCCAGGCGCTTTTTTTTCCTTCCAACTTTTTAAAAATTAATTATAGTTATATAATTTATTTAACATCGAAAAAATAGATTGAAATTTTTATTGTAAATGAATATCAATTATGCATAGAGAAAAATCAGATTTTATATTTAATATAAAGATATGATAAAGCACAATTTAGATTGTGGATTATAACTACAAGAAATTAACATCTATTCCAAATAAATTAATAGTGTGTAACAGCGTTGTTACCATCATCAGACAAAAGAATAATTGAATAAAATAATAAATTATTCTTTTGTGTCTGATGATGACAACAACGCTGTATCCGAAATGTCACACACTATTAATTTATTTAGATTAGGTGTTATTTTCTTGTAGCTATAAGGATCAAAATATAAATTATTTTATTGATATTGATCCAATATATGCCTTTTTAATTAAAGATTTATTTATGGATTGCTCTATTTAAAAAGATAAAGATATT